GCTCATAAATTTTAACTTGTTTAATAAATGTGCCTATAACTTGTGTGTTACCTTAGCAACTGCTGAGAATTCTTTGCAGAGCCATCTTCTATGCCAGATAATAATATTACCAAGGTTCATGGAGACCTAATAATCCGGAAAATAATTATGAATAGATATATTCAGGATTATTCTTTTAAGTCATAAACCTTACTATGGTGTAATAAGATGTCAACAGATGCTCTTTGATCTTAAACATATGGCAAGGAATGCAAATTTAGGTACAGATTGCAGTTTTGTTACAGAGAGCTTCTGGAAGTGATTCAGGTACTGCAGTGATCAAATAACAAGAATGGATCCTTTTTCCTTTGCTATTCCACAAGACTTGTATTCTCCACTGCCAATCAGCTTTTAGCAATTCTCAGCAAATTTTCGAGTCTGAAGAATTAATGAATTACTGATTCCAAATCTGTAAAATTGGTATAGATCAGTGAAAAGTGCGGATGCATTTGTTGCAATAAATTGAGGATCTTCTTCTCTGTTTGTGCATTCCCAACAGTTGTTAAAGATCGCTTTCCATCCTTTTATATTTCAAATTTTAGTTGCTACTTCGTATGTACCCCTGTTAGCATTGAACTGCTGTAAAGTAATAGATTCAACTTTATTTAGATAGCTGGGCAAGATCATAGATTGCTGTACTAATGATGCTATCTCAATATCACCTGCATTTAAATAGAATTGTGTATGACTTGCCCTCTTACTCCTGTTTTTTTTTGATCTAGAGGTGGGTAAAATGTAATTAGTATATGCATTGTAGAACTTCACAATGATTGTTTGTACTTACAGGTATCCAATATGATGCTGAAAAGGAAGAGAAACAGCTGCAGGAAAACAAACAGAAAGAACTACTCCGAATTGAAGAGGCATTGCAAAAAGCAGCAATGAAAGGTATGGAAATGTTGGGAAAAATCTCTGGTTTTTGCAATGTTTTTCTTTGCGTATGTAATTTGATGATTGTATTATGGCTTTTAGTTTTCAATCTTGAGTATTGGGGGTGTCTTCAACCATGAACAAGCAAATAAATCTATAAACAGGTATAGGAAAGATCAAATCCAAATATACCATTGACAAGTATCTGTCACAAATCCTCATTTTAAAAATGATTTTTGCTGAATCATATTAACCAGCATTGAGGATTAGAAAGTGCGTCTCTGAGAAAACAACAACAATGAATTATTACCCAGAGCAGGGAGAATTTGTATGGGAAATGAATCAATGAGAAGTGCAAGTGCCAGTCCTGTTGGGGTAGGAAGTACTGCAGAGTTCTGGTCACCCTTTTATAGGAAGGATATTATTAAGTTAGAGCAGGTTTAGAAAAGATTTACCAGGATGTTGCTGGGATTGGAAGGTTTGAGTTGTAAGGATAGGCTGGGACTTGTTTTTCCCTCTGGAGCATAGCAGGTTGAGGGGTGATCTTATAGAGGTTTATAAAATCATGAAAAGCATTGATAAGCTAAATAGCAAAGGTCTTTTCCCTAGAATGGGGGAGTTCAGAACTAGGGACCATATCTTTAAGGTGAGAGGAGAAAGTTTTAAAAATGACGTGAGGAGCAACTTTTTCACACAGAGGGTGGTTCATTGGTGGAATGAACTGCCAGAGAAAGTGGTAGATGCATGTACAGTTGTAACATTTAAAAGGCATCTTGACAGGTACATGAATAGGAAAGGCTTAGAAGGATATGGGCCAAATGCTGGCAAGTGGGAATAGTTCAGTTTGGGAAACTTGTCAACATGGACGAGTTGGGCCAAAGTGTATGTTTACATGCAGTATAACTCTGACTGTGTGCCAGATGTCAGGTTTTCAGCTTGTGCCAGCATTTCAGATGAAAAAGAACATAAATTAAGTTAACTTTGGAGGTTAGAGCAAGGTTTTGGATTCAATCAATGCAACATTACTTTTCCTACATGCATTTTTAAGCAGTGAAGTTTTAAAATGAGTTCATAGTTTTGAAAATTCAGTTACAGGATGTGTTTATTTAATATTGGTTCCCAAAAAACTCATAGATAACTAGCTGCAAGGAACGTGTAAAACTTTTCTATTTTCTTTTAAAATAATATACACTATTTTCTTTCACATGCTTGGTTGTTCCAAGCGTGAAGATTTTTCTTTGAAAACTAGTTGCTTGTTGAAATGAGTATGTTTCTTATTGTGAATGTGTTGAGTTCATTTGATCAGCCCTGTTGCTGCTTGTATTGAGTAGCGGTGGCTTGGCACTAAATTGGGCAGTGGGTTTTGAGTAACAAAGGAGTTTTACTTTAATTGAAAGCACTATCGAGACTGGAGACTTAAAAGTTGTGTATGGCAGTGAGGTGTGATGCAGGCTGTTTGTGTGGAAGTTAATGTGCCTGGTTATGCTCTCTTCTTTTATTGTGCAGACAGAACAAGCATCCACATCTTCCATTTTGTTGCCTGATTGTTTATATGTGCAATGAATTATGCAGCTGTTACAGGAAAATGTAATTAGAAATATAGTTTGCTGATGTGCAGATCTTTAGCATCAAACTGGTTTTCAACATTTGATCTGTGTTGGTGCGACAATCTGATGGGTGCGTGCATTGTTTGGTTAGCATCTTGTTTTTCTAGGCTGGTGCTTAGGCATGCTGTATGACAATGAAGGGGAAATTGTTTTCAAGGTGTTGGAAAATTAATTGGGAAATGGAGATATTCTTAAAGATTAGCAGAATGTAAACAGTATTTACGCTTAGGAAAAAGGCACAATTCTGACCGAGAAAAGTGCAGGCTAATTGCTCTTGCACCAAAAGATGTAATCTATATTTGGATTTGATTTGTGCAGCATATGCCTTAATAATTAACAGTCAATGTGAATTTAGTAGCATATGCCCTGCTGAACAGACATAATCCATTTCTTTGACAACCTAAATCACCGTTCATATAGGAATTTTAGCTGAAAGGCATGGAACGCTGTTTAAGAATGAGAATTGGATTCACAACTAGGAAAGTTGTGAATGCTTTTCTGCGTTTAAGGGTCAGTATAAGTGGAGTACTGTGGAGGTACTGAATGGTGTACAGTGATTGAACTCTTGTCTGATAATTGGTTGTAACATTAATGCATTTATAGAAGTACAAGGATAATAAGAAGGAAGATGCATTTAATATTTTGCAGAATGTTTTTAGTTTAATACAACTGGCAGGGAAATTTCAAATAAAGCTTAAAGCTAACTGTTGGAAGTTATTGTAGGTGCAAAACACATTCTTTTCCTAGAAGAATTCACAATGAAAATTAAAGGTAACATGTTCAAAATCTGGAATTTGTTCTGGTCATTCATGGAAGAAGGATAGTGTGATGGAAATCTTATCTATTTTTTTTTTCTTTTCATCATCCTCTGTCCTTTGACCCAAACCTGTTATCTTGTTATATCTGGGACTGCATTAGGATACGAATGTTATAATCGGAAATCCGTATCTTAATATCATTAAATGAATAGTATTGTACTAAGTCGACGGGTTAAAAAGCTGCATGGTATAATTGTTGACTAGTTGTAAGTTAATTTGCTCAAGATTGAACAAATAATTCTTGTGGTGAAGACTTTTCACTGTTATTATCTCGAAGAGTTTAAAAATACCTCGAGGTTTTTGATCAGATCGTGGCCCAAATTTCTGTTTTCGAAGTACCTCAGCACAGCAGTAGAAGATGAGTATTGATTTTTGTGTTGAAGTCCAGATTGACTTGTATTCCTTTTGGAAGAATGGAACAAGTATATGTAGTTTACAATCTGCTTGGTGAAGCACAACACTTGTAGTCTTCATTCCTTTAACTCTTACCTTTAGATTCTTTGCTCAGGATAAAGATGGGAAAGATTGAGTGTGCTTGAGTCTGAATCTTAATTTTATAATGAGGTATTCACATTTATTTATGAATTCTCTTGTTTACAGAGTGAACTGCCTTACTTGCCCTCAAACAATCTAGATTCTAAAATACCTTCTCCTTTGGATGAAAGTAAAATGGCTGTTTCAGAATTTCCTAGTTTTCGTGAAAGTAATTCATAATTCTATTATGGTTGATAATAAAGCAATTACTTGGTCATCTGTTCAAAATCGGTATTAATTGCATCTCCATTTCTCCAGAGTAGTTAAATAAAACTAGCTTGATTGTATGGTTCTCGAAGCAAGTGTTATTAGTTTCTGTGATGTGCCAGTTCAGTCCTGAATATTCAAAATAGATCTTTGTGCTTTCAAATTATTTGAATTCAAATTACTGGATAATTAGTTTATGTGAATACCCCCAAGAAGGATTTTAATTAAATTTCTTTATCTCTATCAGATGATTTTAATTTAAATGACTTTACATTTGTAAGGTAGCTCAAGTACTGTTTATTTTTGCTTAGTTAGTAAATCCCGTTGACCTCATGAGTGTCTTTGATCTGCGTAAATGGTGGAAAGTATTGGAAGATGAGCATTTCTTGCTGGTTTGCAGTTTGGATGAATTTTATACATGCATGATGAAGTAACTTCTGTTAGATTAGAATTGCTGAACTTCAATTTAATTCAATATTATTTTAATTCAAGGCGAATTGTTAATTATATCTCTTTAAATGTGTTTTTGAGGGAATTGGTGCTTAGTAATTAAAATATAATTGTGTTTGTTTCATTTTATTTTCCCACTTCTTTATTATGAACTTAACATACAAATAGTTATAAAATGATTTTAGGTTCAAATGTTAATCAAGATTTAAGTCCTCAACAATATAGTTCTGATTTCTCCTTTTCTCTTTTTTTTTTTATCCCTTTCCTTTTTGTCCTTGACCCACTTTTGTCCTTGAACAGTGATTCGTACTAGTGAGAGTTCACGGTTGTCAGTGGCTTTTCAGTATTTCCCAGTTATAACATCCAGCTAAATTGTGTGCTCAGATCAATTGTTGCATCCTATTTTGGGTGAAATATATTTAACTGCAACAGCAGGTGATTAAAGTTGCCATGCTTGACTTTAAGACTCTGTGACACTGCTTGTAACAGCAAATCCACAGGGGGTGATCGATGTATTTTTCCAATTGTTACATATTTGATGGATGAACAATTAGCTGAATTTTACGTTTTCTGGCTCAAATGTGAAGATCTCGTTGAGGTTTCTGTTTACACAGTATTGAATTGCGAATGTTGTCTTGATGTATAATATTTATCCTTATTGCTGCGTATTGGGATGAAGGTGCCTCTTCAGGAGAGTTCTTGTTTTCCTTGGAAAGCTATGTTTATAAGAACACCAAACCTGGTAGGTACTTCAGTGCAAAATTGCATCGTGTCTATTTTGTTGCAATATAAGTTAATAAATCAAAAGCTTATTTTGTGGCCACACTTTTTTTTTTTTTTTAGACGTTACAAAGAAACTGCATGAATTTTCCCACATACTTGGATTTTAAAATTGAACCAACCTGGTGAATGAGTGGAATGAGGTTTAACAGGCACATTGTGGGGGCGGTAAGGCAGGCAGGGTGAATGATTATAACAGTGAAGTGGTGGAAAATGTCAGTGCATCTGGAGAAATGTTGAGAATAAATGCATAAAGATCTGAAATCAACCCAAAATGTTGCATTTGCCACAGTTTTTAGATACAAGGGGTTGACAGGTTGCCACAAGTTGAATCCCGAAACGTTCACTTGATGCCTCAAGTAATTCAAATCCATATCAAAAACTTGGACAAAGGAACCAAATATATAGTTGCTAAATTTGCTCATGATGCAAAGCTGAATAGGGGAGTAAGTTGTGAAGAGGACATCGGGAATCTGTAAGGGGATCAGTGGTTGTGAGTAGGGGGAGGAAAATTGACGGTGAGTACAATGTGGGAAAATGTGAACTTGTCCAATAGTAGAAAGAAGAGAAAAGCAATATTTCATTTGAATGGAGAGAGATTGCAGTAAAGTAGGACCTGGGT